TCTCAGTCACCCAGACTAGAGTGCAGTGGCTGCTCCCGGCCACCTCAGCCTCGACCTGCTGGGCTCCAGCGATCCTTCCGCTTCAGCCTTCCAATAGCTGGAACTACAGGCGTGCGCTACCATGCCCTGCTAATTTTTTGATTTATTGTAGAGATGAGGTCTCACCTGCCCAGGCGGGTCTCGAACCCGCGGGCTCAGGCAATCCACTCACCTCAGCCTCCCAAAGCACTGGGGTTACAGGCTGAGCCACCGGGCCTGGCTGATCCCACGTTTTCTTAGCTGTGTGACCTCATACACATCATGTCACTTCCTTACACCTCAGTTTCCTCATCAGTAACATGGGTGTAATATTTTTCTTACGGAGTTGGGTGAAGATCTCATGAGCCAGCTTTTCTCATGAAAAACTAAGTCAAAGAAGGTAAAATAGTGATGTCAGGAGACTTGTTCAGGTGCTCTGACCCAGGGCAGGGAGGCAGAGGCAGGTCTCGTGTATGTTCCAACTGCAGAGCTGGAGGTGCGGCAGAAGCGGGAGCAGATCCCCCCTAGGACACTGTTGCTGACTGTGGAGGACCCCGAGATGCGCGTGGGCAGTGGTGGAGCCACCCTCAATGCCCTGCTGGTGGCTGCTGAACACTTGAGTGCCCGAGCAGGCTTCACTGTGAGTGGTCACAAGGGCCATCCCTCTGGCTCCTATCCCTGTGGAAAGCAAATTCTTTCTGAGATTGCCAGCTCTTCTGGTTCTGTTGCCCTGGTCGGCTCAGCCTTGGCTTCAGTTTGTGTGTCTGTAGGTTGAACAGATTCGTCTCTGCCTTGGCGTCCAGCTGAGGGCAGAAGGCAGGGCCAGCTTTGGTGGCATTTTTAGAAAGTTCACAATATCTTAATATCTCAAAGTAAGGCTTTCTGGCTTCTCTTGAAGAGATTAAAGATCTTGCTATTGGCCGGGCTCGGTGTCTCAGCCTGTAATCTGAGCACTTTGGGGGGCCGAGGTTTGTGGATTACCTGAGCCCGTGGATTCGAGACCCGCCTGGGCAGTGAGACCTCATCTCTACAATCAATCAAAAATAAGCTGGGCGTGGTAGCGCGCGCCTGTAGTTCCAGCTACTTGGAAGGCTGAGGAGGAAGGATCGCCAGAGCCCAGCAGGTCAAGGCTGCGGTGGCTGGGAGTGGCCACTGCACTCCAGTCTGGGCGACAGAGTGAGACTCCAACTCAAAAAAAAAGAAAAAAAAAGATCTTGGTATCCTGGCCTTCCCTTCCCACATGGCAGCTGTTCCCTGGAACTGGGATGTGACTGGCCTCTTTGGGCAGGAGTCAGTGTCTCCTCTGGGCCTATGTCCCCACTCATCCAGCCACTTCATTCAGCCTCTGGCCTGCATAGGACCATGGCATGGAGAGTAAGGGTGGTCCCAGGCCTGGACATGCTTTGCGATGGAGGTGGCTCAGGCAGGGGCGGGGGCCTCTGTGTGGTTACCATGGAGCAGACTTTCTCGTCACCCAGCGAGCCCTGAGTTGTTGCCTGTAGCCTCCCCTTAACAGGGAGCAGAGAGGTGGCCCTTGTGTGAGACTGCTAGCTCCTGCTTGTGGCCATTGGCTTGACCTCGCCTTTTGTCTCTTTGCTACCTGAGTGGATTGGTGTTGCGGTTCCTCTCTGGACAAGAGAGTGCTGTCCTACCGGTGCTATCTTCCTGAGGCCTCTGTCATCAGAGCTCTCCTGTTCCTGACAGGTGGTGACGTCCGACGTCCTGCACTCGGCCTGGATCCTTATTTTGCACATGGTAAGTGGAATTTGGGACAGAGGCCATGCGGAAGGCCAGAACCCAATTTTCGGGGTTGGGCAGGACATTAGGGGTGTTGTGCTGTGTGTGCGTGCAAGGTGTTCACTGTGCAAATCTAGAAGAATCAGAATCTGAAGCAACCAGGCATGGTGGCTCATGCCTGTAATCCCAGCACTTTGGGAGACTGAGGCGGGAGGATTTCTTGAGCCCAAGAATTTGAGACGAGCCTGAGCAACATAGCGAGACCTTGTCTCCACAAACATTTTTTGAAAAACAGAGAGAAAGAATGAAAGAAAAAAGAATCAGAATCTATCTAAATGCCAAAAAATTGGCAACTGACTAAATATATGCAGCATGACTTCCAAGTGGATTATTAGATTAAAATGTCCCGCTGGCCGGGCATGGTGGATCATGTATGTAATCCCAGCACTTTGGGAGGCCAAGATGGGAGGATTGCTTGAGCCCAGCCTAGGCAATGAGACCCCACCTCTACCAAATAAAAAAATTATAAAAAGAAAAGTTCATCTACCTCTATGCATTGACCAGGAATTAGGCTTATCAGCTCTATGACCTTGGGCAAGTCACTTGATCCTTCCTATCCCTCAGTTTCCTCATCTGTAAAATGAGAATGGCAACAGTTTCTACTTCATGTGGATGTGGATGTGCTGAGAAGATCCATATAAATGCTTAAAACAGGGCTGGATCACTTGAAGTGCTCAGGGAATGTATTTTCATTGTTAAATGAAAAGGCCAACTACAGAAATTTGTATAGAAAAACATTGGCTTTTTAATTAGAATTCTTTTTTCTTCTTCTTTTTTTTTCTTTGAGTCAGAGTCTCACTCTGTCACCCAGACTGAAGTGCAGTGGCATGCTCACGGCCACCGCTGCCTCGACCTGCTGGGCTTAGGTGATCCTTCTGCCTCAGCTTTCCAAGTAGCTAGAACTATAGGCATGTGCCACCATGCCCAGCTGATTTTTCTTGATTTACTATAGAGATGAGGTCTCACCAAGTTGCCTGGGCTGATCTCGAATGAACTCCTGGGCTCAAGAAATCCTCTCGCCTTGGCTTCCTGAAGTGCTGGGATTACAGGCATGAGCCACCTCTCCTGGCCACTTTTTTTTTTTGAGTTGGAGTTTTACTCTGTCACCCAGGCTGGAGTGCAGTAGCACAATCATGGCTCACTGCAGCCTTGGCCTCTTGGGCTCCGGAGATCCTTTTGCCTCAGCCTCCTGATTAGCTGGAGCTGCAGGCATGTGCCACAATGCCTGGCTAATTAAAAAAAATTTTTTTTAGTTATTTATTATAGTGTTGTGGGGTACAAATGAGGATTTACTGCCTAAGTAGGCTGCATGCAGGTGAAGTATGGGCTTCTAGATGGCCCTCACTCCCTCTGGTAGTGGACCACATGCCCCCCACCTAAATTTTTTGATCTTTGTAGAGGCAAAGTCTTGCTGTGTTGCCTAAGCTGGTCTTGAACTCCTGAGCTCAAGCAGTCGTCTTGCCTCGGGCACCCAAAGTGCTGGGATTATAGGCATGAACCACTGTACCTGGCCAAGAAAACATTTTTTGCCAGTCTTCTACTTGACGGCTTTCTGTCTGCACAGCTGATGAGGTGCCCCAAGGGTTCCCTCATCAGTCCCTGTCCATGCCCCCCAAGGGCCGAGACTTCCCCTTTGATGACTGTGGTCGGGCCTTCACCTGCCTCCCCGTGGAGAACACCCAGGCACCTGTGGAAGCCTTGGTCTGCAACCTGGACAACTTGCTGGACATCATGACCCATCGGGTGAGGCTGGACAGTGGCCCATGGGGCCTTGTCTCAGATAGAACCTTTCTTGCCTACTGCACCCCCAGCTATAATTGGTGTGGTTCAGCTGGAGGATCCCAAGGGGAATGGTCAGAGCTTCAAAAAGTCAGTCTTGGTCATACTGGGGGAAGTTAGTCTTAGTCACATTGGGGGATGGTGTAGCCCCAGGGGGTGGAGGTGGCATTGGCACCGCAGGTCTTGGAGTCCCTATTACTTCTGTGACATAGTTCCCTTGAACAAAGTGGCTGGTGGACCCCCAGAACAAGCTGGTACTGGGCGGAGGAAGGGAGCAGAGGAAGGGCTGGGCCAGGCACTAGCTGCATTCTCTGTCTCCCCTCTGCAGCTGGGCCCAGGCTCCCCACCAGGCGTGTGGGTCTGCAGCACCGACATGCTGCTGTCTGTTCCTGCACATCCCGGTGAGCCTGAGACAGCCTTGGACTGCCTTCCCTCGCCACAGGGGAAGTCAGCTCTGCATTCCTTACCTCCCCTTTCTCTGGGCCTGCCCCACTGCCCTATTTAGAAGAGAAGGGAAGCTGTAGGGAGTAGAGAATGAAGCCCAGACCAGAAAGCAGGGCTACCCCTATTGGACCTCAGTCTGGCTGTCCATAGAATAGATAGAAGCAGCCCTGCCCCTTCTACCCCACAGGGCTTGTGGAAGAACTTTGGAAGAGGAGGGTTGTCATTTTCCCAGAGAAATGTGTGCCTGACTTTGTTTTGTTTATTTATTTATTTTAAAATTAAAAAAAAAATTTTTTTTTGAGTTGGAGTCTCACTGTCGCCCAGACTGGAGTGCAGTGGCCGCTCCCGGCCACCGCAGCCTCGACCTGCTGGGCTCCGGCGATTCTTCCACCTCAGCCTTCCAAGTAGTTGGAACTACAGGCGCGCGCTACCACACCCGGCTAATTTTTGGTTTGTTGTAGAGATGAGGTCTCACCAAGTTGCCCACGCGGGCCTTGAACCTGCAGTCTCAGGCAATCCATTCACCTCAGCCTCCCAAGGCGCGGGATTGCAGGCTGAGCCACCGAGCCCGGCGTGTCTGACTTTGGAAATCATATTTCCCTCTTGGAGGTGCCCGGATGCCCCAGCCCTGGGCTCTTGCTTCCTCCTGGTGTGGGACGCCCTGCTTTGGGTTGGAGCCCCTGGGAACCCTCCTGACTGCCCCGCCCCACAGACATCAGCTGGGATGACTTCCAGGGAGCCAGAGTGATCGCCCTTCCAGGGAGCCCGGCCTATGCTCGGAACCATGGCGTCTACCTCACTGACTCCCAGGTAGTGCCCTGGGGGCAGCAGCATGGACAGCTGAACCCCTAGGGCAGCCTTCCAGTCCTGTGCACTGGGCAACCTCTCCTCCTGGATTTCCTGGTGTGGTCTTGCATTTGAGTTTCCTCCATGGCAAAGTGAGGTCTGGTGCTCACTTAACCGTATGCCCAAAGTGCATTTCACACCGACCACCTGCCAGGCTCTGCTCAGGCTCAGGGGCTTTGGAGACATATAAAGCCTGCGTTCTACCATCAGGAGGGAGGTGTCAGTGCTTGTGTCCCTCAGGAGTTTACAGGCACCTGCTGGACTTGTGTCTCAGTTTTCATTTGGAGGATGCCCTTACTGACAGCTCCAGCTGAGCCTTCCTTCAGGATCCCTTCTTGTGCTCTTCCCTAACTTAGTTTCTCCCCCCACATAGGGCTTCGTTTTGGACATTTACTACCAGGGCACTGAGGCAGAGATTCAACAGTGTGTCAGACCTGATGGGCAAGTGCCACTGGTATGGCTGCTGGGCCCAGGTTGGGGGGCATTGGGGACCTTATGGAACAGGGTGGGAGGGTTTGCCTTCTTTTCAGCCCCACTCCTAGAAGATTCCAGGACAAGCTGGAGCCAGAATCTGAGGAATGTCCTCTCAGGGGAGCAGGTGGAGCAAGGATCTGAGAAAGGGGTAGCCTTGGAATTCAGGGTTCTGTCCTGAACCAAAAAGCCTGGAACCAGAATGTGAGCAAGTCAGGGAATGCCGTTGGGAGGTCTAGAACCAGACACAAGGAATATTTCCAGAATGAGGGACAATGGTGGCATGGTGGGGAAATCTGGGATTAGTCCATGGTGAAGGTGGAGAGCTGAGTTTGGGAAAAGGCCCGAAAGTTGAGGAGTGTTCTAGAAGATGCCTTGGTGGGAGCTGCCCTGAGAGACCAGGAGACTGGTGCTAGAATGGCTCTGAAGATGCCTGGTGTGGCATCCGGACTTGCTTGGCCCATCTGCATGTGCCCTCCCTGACACGTGCCTGGGCCTGGCTCAGGGCTCCCCACCTGACTCTTTTCGGGGCCCTTCCAGGTCTCTGGGGTTGTCTTCTTCTCGGTAGAGACTGCTGAGCACCTCCTAGCCACCCATGTGAGCCCACCCCTGGATGCCTGCACCTACATGGGCTTAGACTCTGGAGCCCAGCCTGTCCAGGTGACTGGGGGAGGGGAACTGGGGGTGAGGTGCTGTGTGACTCAGGCCAACCCCTTCCCCTTTCTGGATCAGAATCTCTGCAGATGGGACTGCCCCAGCACAGCCCTGGAGCCATGGGACCCAGTTCCTGCCCTGCCAATAGCTGTGCTTCTTACCCTTTCCCCAGCTTTCTCTGTTTTTTGACATCCTGCTCTGCATGGCTCAGAACATGATCAGGGAGGATTTCCTGGTGGGGCGGCCCCCAGAGTTGGGGCAAGGTGACGCAGACGTGGCAAGTTATCTGCAGAATGCCCGGGCCCAGCTGTGGAGGGAGCTTCGTGGTCAGCCCCTCACCTTGGGTGGGTACTGCCTCTTGGTTCCCTGGGGTGGAGAGACCAGGGGATGAGGCCCCAGAATGAGGCTACTTCCTGCATTCTGGACCAAACAGCCCAGTGCATGGACTGGACAGTTACCCTGTCCCAGGCCACAGCCCCCCTGCTTAGCTATCTCTCTTCCCATCTTCCTTCTGTCTCCCTCCCGGGCTCTAGTCCCAGCCTGTCCACTTTCTAGCTGTGTGGCCTCAGACAGATTGCTGACTCAGTCTCACCTAACAGGCTTATCACCATGCCTGCCCTCCTTATATCTGATGCGGAAGTGTCTGCTCGTTGGAGGCCAGCCTCACCCCTGAGCTGCATCGGGCATGAGATTGGGGTCAGTGCTTGTGTCTTTACAGCATATGTCCCCGATGGCAGCTACAGCTATATGACCTCCTCAGCCAGTGAGTTCCTACACAGCATCATGCTTCCCAGGATCCCCAGGGCCCAGATTGTACACTCCCAGGTAGAGGTGAGACATTTTTCCCCTCGGAGGTGCCTGACTGGGTACCTGGGGTCAGGTGGGATGTTGGCTCCAGGGAAGGGAACAGCTCATGCATGGAACAGTTTATCTGAGTGCAGGTGTGTTGTCCCTATTTTACATATACTGTGCTAGAGGCTCAGAGAGGCTAAGTTACTCAGTGAGTGGCCAAGTCAGGATTCTGTATCAAGGTCTGCCTGATTGAGAAGCTAAAGAATGCTGGGTGTGGTGGCTCATGCATTGGGAGGCCAGGGTGGGAGGCTCACTTGAGACCAGAGGTTTGAGACCATCCTGGACAACATAGAGAGACCCTGGCTCTGAAAAATAAAAGTTAGCCCGGTGTGATAGTGTACACCCAGTTATTCAGGAAGCTGAAGCAGGAGGATCGCTTGAGTCCAGGAAGTTGAAGCTATGGTGAATCATGATCATGCTACTGCACTTCAGCCTGGGTTATAGAGTGAGACCCTGACTGTTTAAAAAGAAAAAAAAGCTGGGTCAGGTGACTCATACCTGTAATCCCAGCACTTTGGGAGGCAGAGGTGAGAGGATTGTTTGAGCTCAGTTGTTCGAGACCAGCCTGAGCAACATGGTGAGTCCTCGTCTCTACAATAAATAAAAAAGTCAGCTGGGCATGGTGGTGCATGCCTGTGGTTCCAGCTACTTGGAAGGCTGAGGCAAAAGGATCACCTGAGCCCAGCAGGTTGAGGCTGCAATGGCCATGAGTGTGCCACTGCACTCCAGCCTGGATGACATAGTGAGACTCTGACTCAGAAAAAAAAAAGAAAGAAAAGAAAAGCCAAAGAACTTTCTGTGGGGTTTGCTTGGGGAGACAGGCACATTTGAAGTGGTGGGTCTGGGTCAGTGCCCAGTGCTGTGATACTGAGGAAGGGGGCGGGTGGAGTTCAGAGGTAGCCCTTGGGGTGCCGGGGATGGGATAGCTGGACAAGCGGGATGGGAATAGGCTCAGGCTGGGGCCAGGGCAGGTCCAGAGAGAGACTGGCTGGCCAAAAGGCATGGGAGCAGCAGGCCTCGACTCTACACCCAGACACTTGGCTCTGAGGAGGGTTGGAGCAGCTCCGGCCCTTGGCCCTCAGGCCCTTCCTCCCGACTGCATAGGAACGACAGCTCCTGGCGGCCGGGAGCTCCGTGGTCAGCTGCCTGCTGGAGGGTCCTGTCTGGCTGGGGCCTGGGAGTGTCCTGCAGCACTGCCACCTGCAGGTAAGGCCTGAAAGCATGGGGTTAGGGCAGCTGGCATCTTGTGTGTCTTGCCGGGTGCTGGGTGCCGCCGACCCAGGATTCCTGCCCTCTCCCCTGCCAGGGCCCCATTCACATTGGCGCTGGCTGCTTCATGAGTGGGCTGGACACTGCACAGTCTGTGGCACTGCACGGCTTGGAGCTGCGTGACCTTGTTCTGCAGGGACACCACATGCGGCTGCACGGCTCCCCGGGCCGTGCCTTCACTCTCGTGGGCCGTCTGGACAGCTGGGAGGTAGGTGCCCACCCTACATCTCCTTACCCCCTTCTTTGGGTTTTGGGGAACCCCAAGGATTCCAGCTCCCACCTCACTGCAGGGTTCTATGAGTACTGGCCTGAGGCATGGGCTGTGGGGAGGGTGTGGCAAGTGGAGTCTCCACAGGCCTTGATCTCCCTCCTTTCATCTGCTCTGTAAGGTGAGCTGGGTGGGGACCTTTTTTGTGTATCAAAGTCTCACTTGGTCATTCAGGTTGGAGGGTACTGGCATGGTCATGGCTCACTGCAGCTTCAACCTCCTGGACGTAGGCAATTCTTCCACCTTACCCTCCCAAATAGCTGGGACTACAGGTGTACGCCACCAGACATAGCTAATTAAAAAAAACTATTTTTGTAGAGACAAGGTCTCACTATGGTGGCCAGACTGGTCTCAAACTCTTGTGCTCAAGTGATCCTCCTGCCTTAGCCTCCCAAAGTATTAGGAGTACAGGCATGATTACTGCATCTGACCCTAGATGGGGATTTTTATGGCCACTTTCTATACTGGAGACTGAAGTTCAGAGGGGGAGGTAACCTGCTTTGGGTCACAGAGCCAGTTATGGTGAGTGGAGCCTGGAACCCAGTATCTTGCTCCAGATTCCAGACACCTGAGCAGGAGAGTGAAGCAGTTGCAGAACTTGCTTGAATATGTGCCCATGTCTCTCTTTCTGCCCTCACTTGAGCAGCTCCTGACCCTCTGACCTGTGTCCCTAACCCCTTCCTGTGGCCCCTGCAGCCCTGACTGCTTCCTCCTCTCCCCACAGAGACAGGGGGCAGGCACGTATCTCAATATGCCCTGGAGTGAATTCTTCAAGAAGACAGGCATTCGGTAGGGCTGATGGCCCCGACAGGCCTCTGTGGGCTTAGGCAGCTGGGGTAGCCATTCTTCGAGGTGTGTCCTTCCCCTGCCCCAGAGCACCACTGGCTCCCCTATCATCCACCCGGGGGAGTTTTGGGCAGCTCGATTCTCTCCAGTGCTTCTTCTCGGGCACCTCCAAGTCTCTGGCTGTGCTCAGACTTTGGGATTCTCGTTCAGTGGCCTAGGAAGGGAAGCGAGGCAGCTCGGCCTCCTTCCCTGAATGACCCACTTGTGCCTCCACTGAAGGACTTTATCCAGTCCTCATGAGTTGTCAGGCGGGTCAGGGCTTGGGGAGGAGACAGGAGCCTGGCTTCCCTCCCGCTAATGTGCCTTCTCCCTGCATTAGAGACTGGGACCTGTGGGACCCAGACACACTCCCCGCAGAGCGTTGCCTTCCCTGCGCCCGCCTCTTTCCTGTGCTCCACCCCTCGAGGGCCCTGAGGCCCCAGGACATGCTGTGGATGCTGGACCCCCAGGAGGATGGGGGTGAGGCCCTACGGGACTGGCGAGCCTCCTGGCGTCTATCATGGGAGCAGCTGCAGCCATGCCTGGACCAGGCTGCCACCCTGGCCTCCCGCCGGGACCTGTTTTTCCGCCAGGCCCTGTGTAAGGCACGGCACATACTAGAGGCCCGGCAGGACCTCAGCCTGCGTCCGCTGATCCGGGCTGCTGTCCGTGAGGGTTGTCCTGGGCCCCTGCTGGCCACGCTGGACCAGGGTGAGTGTGCTGGCCATTAGTGTTGGGGAGTCAGGCCAGGGTTACCTGCCCTACCTGCCCTCTGGGCCATCACCTGAGGGGACCAGGGAGTCATGAGGTACCAAAGCAGGGGAGAGACATACTGGACTTTACTTTTAGGATTCCGGACTGCCTCATCCCTGTCAGTGGGGTTTGGTCAGGGGTCGAGGCCTGGTGGCTGAGCCTCTGGGTCCTGTGCACATTGACAAACCCTGTGTGTTCTGTACTGGATGCCAGGGTGTGGGTGCAGAGCTCCAGCAGAGTCCCCAGTGAGGTGGCAGGCTGTACCTGAGGTCCCAGGCACACTGCCGGGGGGCTCAGGGTCTCAGCCTCATGGGCAGCACTCATGGATGGTCTCAGGGACTGGGGACATTACCCCTATTTGAGTCACTCACCCAGAGCTGCACAACTGCTTGGTGGAAAGGCTGAGACTTGAACACGGGTGGTTTGACCTCAGAGCCTGTACTCTTAAGCATGATGGGCATCCTGGGTGGGGGTGAAGGGCACGTTTGGGCTGGGGTTGGCTGGATGAGAAGCACTTTACTAGGCAGAGAGTGGGGGTGCAGCTTGGGCAAAAGCTAGGAGCTGTGAGGAATCTAGAGTACTGGGGACTATTGAATTGCCTCTTGGGGCAGAGGTGTTGAGGGTGGGCCCCTCCCCTGCCACCCTGACTCCTGGTCCCTCCTGGTTCCTCAGTTGCAGCTGAGGCGGAAGACCCTGGTGTGGCGGCACGGGCATTGGCCTGTGTGGCGGACGTACTGGGCTGCATGGCAGAGGGCCATGGGGGGTTACGGAGTGGGCCGGCTGCTAACCCTGAGTGGATGCGGCCCTTCTCGTACTTGGAGTGTGGAGACCTGGCTAGGGGTGTGGCAGCGCTCGCCCAGGAGAGGGACAAGTGGCTGAGCAGGTGGGTGCTAATGGAGCTCAGATCCCTTGCAGAAGTCCCCAGACATCTGGGGAAGCGTCCTTTGATGCTGGAAGCCCGGAGGGAGGTGGAGCACCTTCGGGTCACCCAGGCCTGTTAGGTCCCCAAAGTCAGGCAGTCTGCCCCAAGCTTGGGGCTCCATGTCACCATCCCTCCCTTTCCTCTGGACAGGCCAGCATTGCTGGTGCGAGCAGCCCGCCACTATGAGGGGGCTGGGCAGATCCTGATCCGCCAGGCCGTGATGTCAGCCCAGCTCTTTGTCTCCACGGAGACGGTGGAGCTGCCAGCACCTGGGCAGTGGGTGGTGGCTGAGTGCCCTGCCCGTGTGGATTTCTCTGGTGAGCCCCTTGTGGGGGATGGGGTGAAGGTGGTCTCCCGAGAACCAGGCTTGCAGCCCCCGTGACCAGCTTGGTCTTGCCAAACTGCCACAGGGGGCTGGAGTGACACACCACCCCTCGCCTATGAGCTTGGTGGGGCAGTGCTGGGCCTGGCTGTGCAAGTGGATGGCCGCCGGCCCATTGGGGCCAGGGCCCGCCGTATACTGGAGCCCGAACTGTGGCTGGCGGTGGGGTCTCGGAAGGACGAGGTGGCCGTGAAGATAGTGTGCCGGAGCCTGGATGACCTGCGGGATTACTGCCAGCCGCATGCCCCAGGTTAGGGCACCCCAGGACATCTACAGGTGGGGATGCACACACAGTTAGTTGGGGGATGGGAGCAGAACCCAGGGACCCCTCTATAGGGGACTGCAGGCTAATGGGGCCTGGACTGAGGGCTAGCCAGTCTGGGTGAGGAGCCCTGAAGTAAGGAAAGGGCCAGAAGTCACCCTGCCTAGGCACATGTAGACACAGTAAGTAGAGATGACACATTTGCCCTTGTGTAGCTTGGGGATGGAGCCTGCACTGCCGCTGGGCTTTGTGCTACCAGGTGAGCCCCACACTGGGCTGGGAAGTAGTGGGGGTGGGACGGGGTATCCACTTCTGCCCATGGAGACCAAATTCCTTGTTGCATACCCGTCCCTCGGCAGGGGCCCTGCTGAAGGCAGCCTTCATCTGCGCTGGGATTGTGTATGTTCACTCCGAACTTCCACTGAGCGAGCAGCTGCTCTGCTCCTTTGGGGGTGGTTTTGAGCTGCACACCTGGTCTGAGCTGCCCCACGGCTCTGGTCTCGGTAAGTGAGCCCTGTCCCCTGCTACCCACCTACTGTTCCGGCCCTCTAGGCCTACCTGTGATCCCCCTCCCTTGCCTCTGTGCTGAGAAGGAGTGGGGCAGGACTGGGCTGAGAAGGAGTGAGGCGTTTCATGCCTGGCACTCTCCTCTGCAGGCACCAGCAGCATCCTGGCAGGCACTGCCCTGGCTGCCTTGCAGCGGGCCGCAGGCCGAGTGGTGGGCATGGAGGCCCTGATCCACGCAGTGCTGCACCTGGAGCAGGTGCTCACAACAGGTAGGACTGCCCCAGGGTGGTGGGGGGTCACCAACACTTTTCCAAGGGCCTGCAGGAGCTCCCCTGGATTTGCACATGACTGGTCAACAGCCACATGATTTTGTGGTTCCTTAAAATAATAGTTTCCTGCCAGGTGCTGTGGGTTGCACCGGTAATCCCAGCACTTTGGGAGACCAAGGCAGGAGAGCTCAGGAGTTCCAGGCCAGCCAGGGCAACATAGCAAGACTCTGTCTCTATTTTTTGAAAAAAAGTTAGTTTTCTGTGGTGTTCAACTTGAAACAGTCTACCTCAAACAACCTGATGTTTTATGAGCACCTACTAAGTGTCAGATTCTGTGGGCACCTTTCATGTTTGCTAGGCACTGGCTATTACCAGGTGCCATTCTTCATGACTCTGCTCCTATCCAGGGCTGCCCATGGGGTAGTGCTAGGCAGACTTGGTTTGGATCATCAACCTGCCCTCTGGTACCATGCCCCTCCCTTGAGCTGTGGTCATCTGTGCCCCTGCCTTCTCCCCGGCCAGATAGTGGAGTATTGGGCCCAGCAATGGCTATGATCTGATGGAATCTAGTATCAGGATTCTCTCGCTTCCTGGTCACTGTGGCCCCTTGTAGCCAAGTGCAGTGTAGAGCTGCCAGAGATCTGTCTATTTCCAGATCCTAGGGTGTTCTGTTCACTTCAGGATGCCAGACCTCTAGCATGACTCTGGAAGGAAACTGCCGCAAAGACATACAGATGCCTGACTAAGGTGTCTTCTGTCACTTTGCAGCCCAGCCCCCTCCTTTCACTGCAGTGACTCACACCCCACAACAGCTAGTCACTAGCAAAAGGAGCAGATGGGGAGGTATTTTCAGCTTTCTTTTGAGATATACCATTCAAATTCTTCATTTGGTCAACAGACAACTATTTATTGGGAATCCACTCTGTTGGTCCCTGTGGATAAAATGAATGAAACAGGGTTCTTGTCTTTGAAAGTCATATGGGCTGGGCTTGGTGACTCAGCCTGTAATCCCAGCACTTTGGGAGGCTGAGGGAGTGGACTGCCTGAGCCCATGGGTTTGAGACCAGTTCGGGCAACTTGGCAAGACCTCGTCTTTACAATAAATCAAAAAATTAGCCGAGCGTGGTAGCACGCTCCTTTAGTTCCGGCTACTTGGAAGGCTGAGACAGAAGAATCACCAGAGGCCAGCAGGTCAACACTGGGGTGGCCGTGAATGTGTATGCCGCGAACTCTAGCCTGGGTGACAGAGTGAGACTCCAACTCAAAAAAAAAAAAAGCAAGTCATATATGGTCTACTTGAGACAGACATGAGATCTTGCTTCATGATGTCTTTCCCACCTTGTGTGCAGGATATGTCACCCAGGCTGAAGTGCAGTGGCATACTCATAGCCACCCCAGCATCAAATTGCTGGGCTCCGGCAGTCCTCCCTCAGCCTTCCAACTACAGGTGCGCGCTACCACACCCAGCTAATTTTTTATTTATTGTAGAGATGAGGTTTTGCCAAGTTGCCTAGGTTGATCTCGAACCCACGGGCTCAGGCAACCCACTTGCATCAGCCTCACAAAGTGCTGGGATTACAGGCTGAGCCACTGAGCCCAGCCAGCCCTTGAGAATTCTAAGTCTGGCTCTGGAGTGAAGCTCTCTCCCTTGCTGGGATTATCCTGCTCCCAGGTCTGGGGATAGAAGCTGTGTAGCCTACCTGTCCCAAGGAGTTGGGGGAACTATCTTTCCACACTGGTTCCAGGCAGGGGTGCAGGGCCCAGTGCCTGGGCTGTAAGAGAGAAGCTGGGCCAGAAAGGCTCCACCAGTGACAGGGCTCTGGGCTCATAGGAGGTGGCTGGCAGGACCAAGTGGGTGGCCTAATGCCTGGCATCAAGGTGGGACGCTCCCAGGCTCAGTTGCCACTGAAGGTGGAGGTGGAAGAGATCACTGTGCCTGAGGGCTTTGTTCAGAAGCTCAACGACCACCTGCTCTTGGTGTACACCGGCAAGACCCGCCTGGCACGGAATCTGCTGCAGGTGAGCCCTGGCCCGGAATATGGGAGAGAGGCAGAGGGCTCAGCTGGGCCTGGACGCTCATGTTGCCTCTCCCACCCCGTGTGCAGGATGTGCTGAGGAGCTGGTATGCCCGGCTACCTGCTGTGGTGCAGAATGCTCACAGCCTGGTGGGGCAAACTGAAGAGTGTGCTGAGGCCTTCCGCCAAGGTGAGGTGCTTCTTCCAGGGGAGTGAGTCAGGGATCAGGAGTATCTTGTCACTTGTGGGTCTAAGAGGCCAGGATCATTTGCAGACTTGATACAAGACCCAGATATTATGCCCCTGGGAACAGAAGCCTCTCCAGGGTTTCATACTTAGGTGGATCCATATCTCAGGACAACTTTCGTCATGCGAAGGACCTTCCAGCTCCACCTAGTAGGAAGCAGGTGGGGGATGGGCTTGGCCCCGTAGCTGAATTCCAGGGCACCTGGAGCTGAGTAGGATTCCAAGTGTGTGGCTACACCGTCCACGGAGTAACACCTGGGCCGGGTACCATGTCAGCTGCTTTATGTACATCAGTCCTCAACCCTGTGAAGTAGGCTTATGACTCCTGCCTCCAGACAGCACTGGAACCTGGGCTTTTAACCACAACACTGGTTCAGTAGTGCCTCTTGGCCCAGGCACACGACACTCTCTTCTGCTCCCACCTCAGGAAACCTGCCTCTGCTGGGCCAGTGCCTGACCTCTTACTGGGAACAGAAGAAGCTCATGGCTCCAGGCTGTGAGCCCCTGGCTGTGCGGCGTATGATGGATGTCCTGGCCCCCCATGTGCATGGCCAGAGCCTGGCCGGGGCAGGCGGAGGGGGCTTTCTTTATTTGTTGACCAAGGAGCCACTGCAGAAAGAGGCTCTGGAGGCTGTGCTGGCCAAGACTGAGGTACCTGATGGGGCTGGGGTCAACTAACCAGGGGTGACATCTTCAAGTACCCTGGTCCTACAGCCTTCAGAAGGCCTGAGATTTACCCAGATCTCTCTAAATACCTCCTATCTTATCCAGGGCCTCGGGAATTATAGCATCCACCTGGTAGAAGTGGACACTCAAGGCCTGAGCCTGAAGCTGCTGGGGAGTGAGTGAGGCTAGTCCTGCTCTGCAAAAGAAAACCTACAGCAGCCTCTCCCTCCTTTCCTTTCCACATGGGAATCTCTGCCTGATACTCCCCGACTTGCCTCTGCGAATCTGCTCCTGAAGGAAGCAGACCTGAGCAGGACTAACACAAGCATAGGCCATGCTTGGGACAGGACCAAGACATCCTGGCTGACCATGGCCTAGCCTTGGCCTCTGTCTCGTCTGGATATAAGGTTCTGAGCTTAGTGTTCCATGTGGCCTTTACAAATCCCATGATCCAGCCTGAGCCTTGGCCCTTTCTTTCTCCCCACTAGCACCTTGGAAGAAGGGGATAACAACTAGTCTTAGCATACATCTGGGGGTCTCTTGGTAGGGTCAACCCTGAAGAGGCCTTTGAGGCATTTCCTGTGGCCTTCCTTAGAGTTGTAGGGACTTCATACTCAGTCCTCACAGGAGAGTGGGAGTGAGGGTGGGGTCTCTTGCCAAGTTGGTGACAGTGAGCCAGCAAGTGTCTGCCTATCCAGGTCTTAACCAGCAACACTGTGGAGCGTGCCAAGTGATCCAATGCCTGTGGGCAGTGGGTTCTCAGGACCATGACATTCTTGGAATAAATTCACTCTGCCCTTCCAGGTTGTCCTCATAAAGTTTTTTGTTACTGCTGGGAGCAATTCCCACTTCCTCCAGCACTATGGGAAACTGCCCTGGGATGATCCAGCTGTGGTGCTGAAGGCACAAGGCAGGGATGAGGGGCCAGGACTGGATGAGGGCTCCTGCCACTACGTGGGGCCTGGAATCAGCTGTATACCTTGCTGGGTGTGGGAGGTTGAGGCCTCAGGCTTTCGCCTTCACATTTCAGTGTAACTGGTGGGCCTGTTCTGCCCCATAGCACAGCCCTCCCTGGAAACAGCACACTGGCATCTCTGCAAGAAGTGTCTTTATTCAGGGGTCATAAGAATCACAGTCTCTCCCCGAAGTCAAATGTGTTCTCAGGTCCCCAGATGTACCCAAGTCCTCCAGGGCTGGCACTGTTTGCTGTGGTGTTTGAGGTCAAGAGAATGACCACCCATGCAGAAAGCTGGCCTAGGCTGCATGCTGCCTGCCTCAGCTTTCCTAACAAATTGGAGCTCACCTCTCTCAGTGGGGAAAGGCTGCCCCCAAAGCATCACCCAGCTAGGGCTGAGGGCAGAGTGTGGATCAATCCTGGCCTTATTTCCCTGCTGTCAGCTGTCAGAGCTCCCCCAAGCCAGTCTTGCTCAGATCTTTGGGGAATAGGCCTGGAAGTGTGATGAGCCAGGTGCGAGCACCCTGGCAGCTACAGGCGCAGCCTCTTGATGTCCTCACTACGGAAGTCTATGCGCAGAGCTAGCACCTGGCGTACTTCAGCAGGGGTGAGGCGCCATGTCAATGGGCCAGAGTTGGCACCCCAGTAATCTAGGATCTCTGTCACCTGTGGGGAAGAACACAGACACTGGTCAGCAAGGCAGGGTCCATCCTGAAAGAAGGCCCTGGGCTCCACCAGGGTCAGAGCAGGTGTACCCAGGATGGGGAAGGTATCCTGTAGGGCTGGGCAAAGACATAGTTTTAAGGGAGTGGCAGGGATTAAAGTTGTATCTCTGCTTCTCTTTTCAGTCCCTTTTCCCTGGCTAGGCCAAGAAAGCCCCACATACCCGCTCCAGGTTGAGGATTGTAGCCATTTGGGAGAGGCGGGCAAATTTGTCTCGGATGGTCCAGGTGGTCACCGTGGTAAGGTAGGCAATGAGTGACCTCAGCTCCTTGTCAAACTGTAGACCGCCCAGCTGCAGGAGAATACAAGCCCAGTCACTGTTTAATGCCTGGTCCTCAAGCCAAGCAGAGCTGACCTTGTTTGATGCCCTGTGCTCAGTTTGATTTAAGGCCTCAGAAGCTGGGGCAGGACTAGACACACAAGACATGCAGACAGGGGACACAAGTCCTGGGGTGGGAGTATGACTTGTCTTCCTTGGGGAGAAACAACAGAACTGTGGGCCCACCCCCCTGCCCCGACATTACCCGGTTGAAGGTGGACTTCAGCACTACTTTCTCCAACTCCACAGCAACAAGACTGGTCATGAGGCCGGTCAGGCTGTCATAGATGACTGGAGACAGGCTGGCCTGTACACAGAAGCTTGATATCAGCAGTCCCACCTAGCCCCACTGCCTCTATGTTAGGAGGGGACAGTTACGTAAGGCTATGGGGAGTGTTTCTACAGGCTAGGGCTAGAAGGGCTTTCACGGTCCTCAGCAGGAATGTGGTGAGAAGCTGTAGGCTGCTGCTTTGGGCAGAAGTGGGTAATTCCATAAGTTGATCCCCAGAGCCCCTACTTACCTTGAACTCTGCCATTTGCTGCTCCAGGTTAAGGATGAACTGTTGTACCCAAGGGTCATTGGCCTCATAGTCATTGAATTCTTCCTATTGTCAGGAAGCAAGGTGGGGCACATCACCACGGCCTCTTTCTAAGTACTATTCAGCCCCACCCGCATCTACCCTCTAAGAAAATAATTAAGAGGTTCTTCCTCCCCTGTAGCTTCTGACTCATCCACTTTCAAACCAGCTTCGACATCAGGGTTGGCAGGAACTGTTCCTGCATCACTTCTGACCAGCAAACATTCCTCCATCACTTTTGACCAGCCTGGGCTGTAGCAATGGCCCACATAATATGGTAAGGCTCCTGGCATTTCATTTCCTCTTCCCCCTCATGTTCTATAGGAATGGAATCACTAGGCTAGGAAAAAAAATCAACGCTCCCAAGTCTGATAGGTGGGGCAAAAAGAGCCTCAGTAAAAGAGGCTAAGTCATGTCAAGGCAAAGTTCCCTCAGGTATTTTTCTGAGCCTGCCTCACTGCAGGAACAAACTATTTCCTGGGAGAAGCCTAGTCTGGATTCAAGGGCAAGTGTTGGAGGAGTGGGCCAATGAAGCACATAAGGTCTAGTTTGTTTGGATGGCTCCACTGCTCTCCAGCTAGGGATGGGAGTCAGGGGTCATCCTGGGTTTGATGGCTGCCTGTGGTCAGGCTGACCTCCTCAATGTTGTGGGAGACGGAGAGAAAGGTGTTGATCCAAGGCTGCACCTGCGGCTTGACTGCTGTGCTGTTGAGCTCTGTTAGTCCTTCCTGCACAAGAACAAGGCAGACACATCAGCCCCAGGAGGCACATGCCCCTTCCCCATTCATCCCTTGACTGCAGGGCATTCTTCCAGCTCTGAGGCTTACTGCAGTCTCCGTTGGAAGTTATAATAGAGATAATACTAAAAACAAACAAACAAACAAAACAACCCAGAACAGTGCATTCCTTGCCAGATCTGTGCTGATTCTGGTCCAGGCTAGAGATGAGGCCCAGAGGTTGTAACCCTCAAGAGATATTTCAGAGTGCCTGGTGCTTTCAGAGGTCAGAGTAACCATGTGGTTCCATTTCCTCTGAGCATCTTCTGAGGGCTCTTGTCACTGTGGGGGCCAAGTGGAGAGTCTAGAGGACCAGATGTTGGCTTGTCATTGTGACAGTTTCACTGCTGAAAAGCCAACAGGGCCTTTAGTCTCAAGGGACTTGCAGAACTCCAGGGGCCTGTATGCTACTCCCTCACCCCTCCTCTTGGTTCCCTTGTACATCATGGAGCCCACAATAAGCCAGCTAACAATTTCAGAGCTAAATATACAGGCACAGGATTCAGGCAGCAGGTAAACCTGGGCTTACCTGCAAGAGGTCACGGAATTTGTTGGACACAGCAGCCAAATCAGACAGGCAGCTGTCGAACTTGGCCTGGGCCTGCTCTCCTCCGATGCCCTGGCTGAACAGCTTGGTGCAGTCACTCTAGGGGAGAATACTGCTGTAAGGCTACTGAGCATGCCTGGACCACGGCAGTGTGAGGAGAGGCACAGGGGGCCCATATGCAACCAGCCATTTCTCCCCATCCAGCCTTCTTGGGAAGCAGCTATGGCTCACAATAGGCAAGAGCCTTGGATGGGCTTCAGAAAACTGGGATCTTATTCTGGTGGCTATCCACTTGGCTCCCACTTCCCACTTTGTAATGTGGGGGCAAGTGTTGAGGGAAGTGAGTAAGAAACACAGACACTAGAAAGTTTTTCATATTTTAGAGTCAGACATTCCAGGTTCAAGTCCTGGTTCAGCCATCTTACATGATGTCAAGTTTCTGAGCTTCAATTTCCCTGTCTACATAATGGAAACATCCAATTCCTGCTCCCATGGCTGTTGTGAGAGTTGGATGAGATGATGCATGAAGTGCTTAGCCCAGTGCCTGGCACATAAGGAGACACTAGCTATTATCGTTATCGTTTCTTTCCTTTTTTTTTTTGAGTTGGAGTCTCACTCTGTCACCCAGACTGGAGTGCAGTGGCCGCTCCCGGCCATTGCAGCCTCGACCTGCTAGGCTCCGGCGATCCTTCCGCCTCAGCCTTCCAAGTAGCTGGAACTATAGGCGTGCACTACCATGCCTGGCTAATTTTTTGATTTATTGTAGAGATGAAGTTTCGCCTGTCCAGGCGGGTCTCGAACCCGCGGGCTCAGGCAATCCACTCACCTCAGCCTCCCAAAGGCGCGGGATTACAGGCTGAGCCACCGAGCCTGGCTCCTTTTTTTTTTTAGTCCGGATTTCACTCTGTCAACCAGACTGGAGTGCAGTGGCATGCTCAGAGCTACTCAGCCTCAACCTCCTGGACTCAGACAATCCTTCTACCTCAGCCTCCTGAGTGGCTGAGACTACAGGAGTCCCTCATGCCCAGCTAATTTATTTATTCATTTTTTGTAGAAACAGGTCTTGCTATGTTGCTCTGACTGGTCTCAAACTCCTGGCTCAATCAATCCTCTTGCCTCGGCCTTCCAAAGTGCTGGGACTACAGGCATGTACCACTGTGCCCAGCTACTGTTTTCTTAACTAGTAATACAATTAATAAGTACCACTGTGTGCCTCTCATCCACCAAGTGCTTTACGTTATTGCATTCATCTCAAGACAATCCTGTGGGGCGGAGGTTATCATCC